CTTTTATCTGTGTTAGAAGATGTTCACATTTTAAAAAGTTAATTTTCCACCCTGTCTACAGTATATACTCTGCCAGGCTCTGCTAACTGCTGCATATGTTGACATACTCTTGGTTGTCTCATGTTACCTTAACCTGGACTCAAACATCCTGATGGCACCAAATCCACATGTGGAGTAATCATTAAAGCTTTATACGTGGTAGATTTACAACCTTGTTTGGCTTATGTTAAGTTGTTAATCTATATTTGTTCATAGTTGCAGACACATTCTTGCAGTCATGGTTTATAAATAATCTTGCATCACCTTCAGCTCTGCCTTTTGGCAGGCCTGAGGGAAGACAGTATACAGCAGTGTGTCTCTCCTGTCAAAGCATGTGTGACTGGGAGATAAACTGCGGAGTGAGGGAGCGTCCCTGTCAGTAAGTGGTAACACTACTCTTGTGAGAACGGCTGTGGGTGTGTGACTGACGTGGCAGTTGGTATTTGTTATGCGGGGGGGCAGGGGGCCTTCTTACAGGGGAATTAGCTCAAATGGTAGAGCGCTCGCTTAGCATGCGAGAGGTAGCGGGATCGATGCCCGCATTCTCCAATGACCCTTTTGACTGTAGATGCATACAGTGCATGGCTTTTAAGGATAAGAGGATTTCTACAGATTATCAGACGTACCAGTGAAAACAGCACATTACTGAATGAATGACTGTATTTGTTGCTAGGCAGTGGCAGTCTTTGCTCATTGTAACATTTACAGTAACATATTTGAGCATTTACAGCACTTTTATTTCTCTGACCAGTCTTAAAGGTCCAGTGTGTAGGAGTGCAAAAACACTAAAGGTCTTATCTAGAGCCAGTTTTTGGTTTGTCCGTTCTGGGCTACTGTAGAAACTGGTGGAGTCCATGGAAGGCAACCTGTCTGTGTCTTTAGATATAAAAGGCTCATTCTGAGAAAAAAACAATAACAATTCCTATATTCAGGTGATTATACACTAATGAAAACATACTTTACATCCATTTCTGCCAGTAGAGCCTCCTAATTGTCACAGACTGGACCTTTTAGAAATGAAAATGGTTGTTTGTGTTTGTGTTAATGGTAAAATCTCTTATTACCTAAAATAATAAAAACTTTTATACTGTTAATAGTGCAACATCTCATGATTTTCCACTCAGGGTGGTGGAACTGTAAAAGCTTTTAAATGTGTTTATACAGACTACGTGTCTGTTCATCCACAGAAGGGGTTTGATGGGAAAAATGTATGGACAAGTTTCAGCAAACCCACCAAAAATCCGACAACTGTGGGCAGAAAAAGCTTCACTGAGTCATAGAGCAATTGTAGGTGACTCGTTCACACCCATAATGTTACAGCCAAATGAATTCCTGCAAAGGTCGGTGAACAGTGTTTTAATTAGCGTTTACTGTTAGTGTCGCAGTGGAGTAGACATTTGTGGCTTCAAATGACTTCATCACCACACAACTTTTATTTTTATGTTTTGAGAATCTCGTCTAAAAATGAACCTGTCGACCCTGTAAAACTTTGTCTTTCAGTTGTGTTATTTTCCAACATCCTTTGTTTTATGATACAGAAGAGCAATATGTCTTTATACTTCTACATTAATGTGTCATTTTATAAACACCACAGGTATCTGAGGTGTCTCTGTAAACACACACAAGACTACAGAAACTTTACACGCCTCAAATATGCCAACAACAAATACTGATTGACTCATTTTAATGATATAAATCTTGTGCAATGAGCAGTTGTGATTTCTCAATGAGTTGATATTTTAACCATCCTGTGGGTTTGTGGTGTGGGTCTGTCTGTATGTCTGGTTTTTCCTGTGCTTTAATGTGTTTATCTATTATATTGCTATTAAACTAAGATCAATGCCGATTAGGTAATGGATACGGCAAACACTTCACCCAGAAGCCATCAGAGACACACACACAGGCACGAACACACAGTGCAGATATGGCCATTTAGAGGCCCCGTGATTACTGTTTACTCTCTAGAGTGTTTGAATAATGGAAACCCGACCATATCAAACACAAACATACATACACACCTCAGATTTCAGGAGGACTCTTTGGCATGCCTTATTCGGCATGATTGGACACTGTTACAGCAAAAAGATATACTAATACATGGCTGTTAAGTTAATTATGAATCTGGTGTGTATAAAAAACCAGGCGTCAGCTGTGGCTTATTAACTGGGTCTCCTTCATATCAGTTTATGCTACATTTTAGTTACAGTTTGCACATGATGTATTTTGAACTGATAAGGTACATTTGAGTTCAACTGTTCATGTTTTTGTTAAGCGCTAAACTCACCTAATCCAGTTAATTTTGTGACAGTGGTAAGTTAAAATAGACTAGATGAAGGCTGCAGATTACCACAAAGGATACAATTGATCAAGAGGTTTTACATTTCTTTTTTGCCCCCCTTTCCCTAATTAAATTAAAAAGAAATTGACACTCAACCGTTCATTATTTTTTCATGAGCAATATCCTCCTCCAGTGATAGATGATAATCTCCATCACAGTGCCAGTCCTAACGAGGTGCTGATATTCAATATGGCAACCAGAGCTGTGCTTGTTTCAGTTGGCAGATCTCAGCTGTTATTTCTGCTTTACTTTGTAGACCAATGATTTGCGTGCAAGGGCTTGTTGGAAACTTAGACAATGGAGACCTGCCAGTGACCTCTTTGGTTTTTTAATGATATAAATAATACATTTGGTTTCATGTCACTGCTCGCTCTGTGACATTTTAATCGCATATATGCCAACATTATGAATACCAAAGTGCCACAACTTGTGCCACCATTATTGTGGGAAGTTTCATTGTGGATTGCAGCTTTAATACCAGAGTCAGACAAAAAAAAGGTGTTGTTCATTCCACCTCATCCCTGGAGGTTAGCCATGGTTAGTCCACCAAAGGCAGGCCTGAACACAAAGACGGCCATAAGAGGCAACTTCGGGAAAAAACAAGCGCCCTCTTATTTTTTCTATCTTATTCTTATTCTTCCATTTTAGACAAGAGTGTGATTTATAGAGTTAATCAGGCATCGGTTTTTACAGTGTGTTTTTTTTAGCAAGCTTAGTGATTTGAATGACTGTTATGGTGTCACATGGCTTTAAGACAGCCAAGAAAGTGGGTCTGAATGCCTTTCTTGAGACATAGTAATCCATAGATCAAAAAATCTGAATGACGCTGGGAATGAGTCATCAGCAACTACAGCCAACTGCAGTGCACTTGCCAAAACCTTTTGATATTCCTCTTTGCCTGCGCGTTGGTTCAGAGTAGTGAAATGTTTTATGGTCTGCAGGCTCCCTCCTCCTCCACTTCAATTACTCCACCAGGAATTATGAAATCATGCGTCACTGTTGTTCACAACAAATTGTTCATGCACCCACACAAAGGAGTTGATTTAAAACACACACACACTCTTATAAACTTTGACAACTTTTAAAAAAAAAAAAACACACTCAGACAAGGAAAATTTTTTAAGCTGTTACAAGACACTGTACATGTATGCACTCTAACACATACGCACTTCTCAGCTGAAGGGGTGTTAGTTGTGAAATGCCATGAATCACATCAGACAAGGCTATAAAGGAAGTGGCTGAAGCCAATCACTTACTCGCCCACATGCTGCTTCGAAAGAAATGGATATGATTGATGTTGTTGGTCGGAGCAGTAATTAAGATTGTTGATTAATCTCAGTGTATTCCAGACAGTGTGAGTTGTGAGTGGGAGAGCAGACAGTGTGCAGCAGTTTTCATTTCTAAACCCGCAGCTGTTATAAGTTAAGTGTAATGGCTCTCATTTTAATTGGATTATTATTCTTTTTTTTATAATAACAATTTAGCAACTACTGCTACTGAATACATAGTGACCACCTTGTAACAACTAGCACAGGATTGGAGGAAGCATTGGATTACATAATGGCATATAAAGTAATCAGAGACATATCAGTGTATTAAGGCAGCAATGATTGAACTCTCTGAATGGGCCATTCTTTACAATTGACTACTTTTACTACCTTTTTTAAATTAACTTCTAGCTACATTTCACTGGTAGTGCTTATGCACTTTCTTTTCAGTAAAATAAGGATTATAGAACTACTTTTACTTATAGTCACTCACATCTACCTTGCACATATTTTTCAGATGTAGCCTACCTAGTTCAATACTACATGCTTCATTGTTCATACTTAACTCAGGGCGCTGTGGTTTAGTTAGTTCAAGTGCCTATCTTGTAAACAGGAAATCCAGGGTTCCTGGATAGTGCCTTGTTACTGAATTTCCCCTCTGGGAATCAATACAGGCTTATCTTATCTTAACTCAGAGCTCATAAAGCATTCAGGCTGCACCAGTGTCAAATAGTAATGAACTCAACCCAATTAATGAATTGTAGACGAATCAATAATGTTATAAACTTAAAGGCCAGTGTTGACAGGGCTCAAGGCGATTGCTTCCCTGTGACCCTGTTGAATCAAACAGATACTGATATCTTGTGCCCTCTGGTGGAGGGTGTCTCCTTTTGTCTGTGTTTACTAACACTTTAAGACACTCATCACATGGCCACCAAGGAACTCAAAAATGATTTATACACAGGCGTTTTACGATACATACACACACTCAGTTTTATGCTAATGCAACATATTTATGCTTTTTCTTTGCTTATTTGTTTATTCTGAATTTAAAAGTCTAATCATGAGCAGGGTCTAAAAAGGTTCATCCCTGTTAAATATACAAATAAAAATAAAACTTATCCCTATTGCCTAAAGTGCAGGTTTCTAGCTAAGACTGTTTTACTTGTTACGTTTTCTACTACACTGTGTGCTGTAACAAGTCTATGTTTTATTTTGAATGAGAATATCTCCTGTTAACTTTAATATTGCCAGTGGCTCAAAATCACATTCATTAGTGCATATCCACATCATCAGTTAAAATATGGACATTATCATCAAACTAACAGCCACATGTCTCTCCCTCTCTCCTCCAGAATGTGAAGATGCCACATCCTGTCAACTATTTCCCTACTGAAACTTTCATCTCGAAAACCCTCTCTTTGGACTTCCTCTCTACCAGCACTTCAGAGCCATTCATAGAGGACAGCTTCACTGGCAACATCAGCAACATCAGCGGGTTAAGCAGCCTTCGTTGCACCTATAAGGAAGACTTTAAACGTATTTTACTCCCCGCTGTGTACACCTTTGTCTTCTTGCTCGGCCTTCCTCTCAATGCTGCTGTCATACTGAAGATATGGAGGACTCAGCCCAGTCTGTCCAAAAACAACATCTACATGCTGAACTTGGCCATAGCAGACTTTCTGTATGTGATGTCACTTCCCTTGCTCGTCTACAACTACGCCAGTCATGACTACTGGCCCTTTGGGGAGTTTGCCTGTAAACTGGTCAGGTTTCAGTTCTACAGGTGAGATACTTACGTATTCAGATGATTGTATCACACACCAGTCTGAGGCTAACACGTTTTTCACTTCTTCCCTTATCTGTTATCTCCAAATATATACAGTTTTTATTAATGTGTGGTGATATTTCAGTGAACAACAACTTTGAGTCCCCCTATTTAGCATTTATAAGTAGTATATAAACATTTAATAAATGGTTTATTACACACTATAATGCAGTTGTAAGCACATACTTGTTTATGTATGTATTTGTCAGCAACTATAACTCTTGCAGGTATCTGTAACTCAGTGCTAGTCTCATAGGGAATGACATTATGGTAAAACACAGTTGTAATAATACCAAGAATGTCTTCATTGAAGAAGTTATAATTGCTGAAAAATACTGTACATTGATAAATAGTTAAGAATCTCCTTATAGCTGCCTAAAGCTACATTAAAGTGTGTAATAAAACATATATTAAATGTTTAAATACTGGTTATAAATGCTAATTCTGGGAACTTAAAGTAAAGTGTTACTCTCTGGTTGTCTTACTACAACCTTGCACTCTCTGTGTTTGATATACAAATAACATACAATACAATGTGGTACTTAATGAGACTTAAGTTAACAGTATTTTCCTTCTCATTTTCCTGTTTTAGCAATCTGCATGGCAGCATCCTCTTCCTCACCTGCATCAGTGTGCAGCGCTATTTGGGCATTTGCCATCCTCTGGCGATGTGGCACAAGCAGGGTGGCCGCAGGATGGCGTGGTGCATCTGTGGAGGGGTATGGCTGCTGGTGGTCGCCCTGTGTGCGCCAACTTTTCACTTCGCTGCGACGGGCATCCAGCGAAACCGCACAGTGTGTTATGATTTAAGCACGCCGAAGCACTCAGTAGACTACTATCCTTACGGCATGGCTCTGACCTGCCTCGGTTTCTTGTTGCCTTTTATGGGTGTGATGGTGTGCTACTGTCGGATGGCCCACATCCTCTGCCGCCCGGTGTCCTACCAGGGTGTCTCCATTGCGACTGGGGAGAAACGGGACAAGGCGGTGAGGATGATCATTGTGGTGGCTGCAGTGTTCTGCATCAGCTTCCTGCCATTTCACCTCACCAAGACCATGTACCTGGTGGTGCGTACTCTGCCTAACGTGCCCTGTGAGACAAGAAACTTGTTTTCAATCATCTATAAGAGCACCAGACCGTTCGCCAGCATGAACAGCTTCCTGGACCCAATTCTGTTTTACTTCACCCAGCCACGCTACCGCCGGAGCACCAGAAGGTTTATGCTCAGAGTCACCACCCGCAAGGACAGGGGCTCCAGCGTGGGAGCGATTCCTTGAATTCTAGGATGCTGCAAAGTGGTACATGTATAGGTTGCTGAGTTTTTTTTTTTAAGTTTCCATGTGCATGTAAACTTTACCTACTACTCACTGTACCAAAGAACTGTACCTTCTGAAGAGAGAGACATTTTTTAGAGGTACCGGCATATCAAGAAGCCTTCTGAAATACAACATGAAGGTTTTAAGCTTATAATATGAAAGGTAATCATAGACTGAGAAAACTTGGAGAAGAAGTTCCCAGAGTTTAAATAAATTTTTTCTCTGTTGGCATTAACCATCAGAGCCATCACAGACTACAGGTGTATTCATCTGGGGAATTGAGGCATTTTTTGACACTCATTGAGATCCCTGACTCTGTATTGTATTTATTTGATTATTGTTGTGGCTGAGGAGTACTATACATGTACTTTATATATAAATAATGATTTTAGCGTCAGCATAAAGGGGCATTCACATCCTGTATTGTCCCTTTTATCTGTGAACTGTTAACTTCCAGTCTCTACTTAACAACAAAAAATAAATAGTCTCACACTGTGAACTGCAGTATAATAGAAATGCTCCAAAATGATAAAATAATGAAGATGATTTTGATTTGTGTGATTTGGAGGTGGAGATAGTGCAATTGTAATTGTTTATAACATGGCATGGTATGTTAGTACTGCATGAAGCATTTATCCCAGTTATAAGGCTTGTTGTTGCATGTTTTCATCACTGGATGGTGTGTTAAAGCCACTGCTGTAACCCCACTGCACTGAAATGCTGGCTCCCTTCTGTCTATAATGGTTAGGTTATTATCCAGTAGATCTTACCCACTGAGTTTATGTTCTTTAATGTTCATGAAATGAACATGAATACAGATTGCATTTACTGGGCACATTGATGTTAATTAGCGTGTTGTTTGTTGTAACTGCATTTGTGTAGAACTTGATGTTATTTTAACTTAATTCAAATGTTTTCATTAGTCATTATTTTTCTGATTCATTTTGCATGTTGACACACTGCGAAGAAAACTGTGGAATTTTTTTCATATTTATATGAAACTGAAAATACTAATATAATCCTTAATTCAGATTTTTTAAATCAGTTTAATTTGCCAGCAGCCTTTAAATTGTTCTGAAGCCACTGTAACAGACAATACTTAGGCGACTTTACTACCTAAACACTAGCTATAGTTTGAGTTTTGCACCCAAAGAAATGTTGTGTACATCGGTTTAATGTGAACATGTTTTATTGTAATGCATTTCAAATGCAAGGAACATTTGAACCAAAATATGCAGTCAGTTGCTTAAAAATGTTAGGAACTAGTTAATGTATGTGTGTCAGTACAGCATGTACATTGATTAATGTAGTGATATACTGTACGATGTGTGTCAGCAAAAAGTTCTTGTTGTTTATGTGTCTGTTTGGTCAAACTGTCTGAAATGTGTGTGTGTGTGTGTGTCAATGTAGAGCGATATCTGTGCACTGTGCCAACATTTTTATGTCATTCAGTATTATTTAGAATAATTCTTATTTTTGTAAAATACTGTAACACAATAATATCAGGAATAGAATTTTATTTTTGTTACATAGATATAATAATGTTGAAAAAGTAACATTTATGATATTTTTTTAGTTTTTTTTTCTTGGGTTGCTTGTGAAAATGTTTTGTACGTCTTCATTATGTAAAACTAACCGGAAACAGCCATTAAAGACGTGTTGCAGCCTGTCATGAATGCCTTTACTTCACTCAGATATAAATAATTTACCTTTTTCACAACACCTCCTCTCAGTGGTCAGATCAGTGATGGGCTGATGGCTAACAAAATGTATATATTATATATCAAAGAGGTAAATATTGATGGAAGAGATTGTGTTGCTTTTTCCTTTTCTCAATTTCCTGCAACTCTGCTGCCACAACTTCCCAAGGTTAACAAGATTTCACCTGGAAACATGACAGCAGGCGGATTTGTGGCGTAAATACTTTGAAGCAGTTAATTGTTAATATTGTGTTGTTGAATTCAGCAAAAGTCCCGTCAAACAACTCGATCCTGCTTCAACAGCAAAGACACTGGAGATTCATTAAAGGTAGCATCCAAACTAATTACTGCCTATGGTTATTAAAAAGCAGCCCACTGTCTACCACCTGACATTTGACTGGTCAGACTGTGGAGGGCGCTGCAGTCAGCAACTCCTCTCCTCTGAGGGAATGCAGCACAGAATTCCTGTCAGGAACAAAAGGACCTGTTAACCAGACAGCCACATGGGAAGCACCACAGAGGGGTTATTGTGCATGGGTGAAAACTTTTCTCATTGCCCCCCCTTCCCCTGAATGCTGACACTCTAATTCATCAACACCATCCTGACACACTGTGGTGGGCCTGCAGAGCTGCTGAATATGCAGCAACCAATTAAATCAAAGTGTCTCATTCTGTGGCTTCCTCTGTGAGCCTCTAATGATAGAAATAGGGTAAAACTGATGCTGTATCTTAGAAATTAAGTAGTGTGTTTAGTCATATGTGCACATGGGTGTTTGTAGAAGTTTGTAAAAGCGCTGCAGGTCCAATTTTTTTGCTTAAAAATGTGTAGTTTTCTCTTTTAAGCTCCTCTCAGTGCTGCTGTCTTTTTCGCAAGGGAAAGGGCTATAATTACATGTAGTTTGTCCACAGTATCTGTCTTCTCCCATCAAAAAAGAAAAAGCTTTTCCTCTCAATCCCCGAGGGGGCTATGACAGCCCCTATACCCCTAGTCCCGCCCACCCCCTCTGCCCTATCTCAGGCATTAACATGCAAAAAACAACACAAGTCACGGAAAACCAAATCATGCCAAAATAAGGAATCCACAAACAGTTTTGGGAATTAACCGGGAATGATGCGTCGGGCCCGTGCAGGCGTGCCAACCTGGCGATGGGCAGAGGTTTAGAAAGAGTGGGGGGACAACAATGGAAAAGTTGTGTTTGTGAACAGGTTGGGAAAGTTTGGGCCAAAAAAAAAAATTGTAGCGCTTTTCCTCCTTGCACGGATGTGGTTTCAGGAATCGACAACATGTAAGTTTTGATAATAGACCAGCACCCACCTACTTAATCACTGAACATTTATCACTTGGCTAACCTTGTTACAGTGCAGTTGGAAGCTTTGCCAACAATTAAGTTTTAAAAAAAGTGATTGTATTCATGTTTTTTTTTTTTTAATGCCATCAGGCTGCGGGAGGAAATGGACCGCAACCCCAAAAGGTGCTTGGATTTGTAATATCCGTGTGGAGTTGAAAATGTGTGTGTGAAATCTAACAAAGAAAAGACATGAACAATGGCTGAAAGAGAGAGGAAGAATGCGGCTGTGTATCGCAGCGTCTCTTTCAAAAAGTTGGGGTCCTGGAGCGCCAGCAGGAGTGAAGACCAACAACACAAATCAGAGGATTTGGAGGCAGCTGGCGTCGCCCTTCCCCCGGAGCCCAGCAAAGCGGAGCAACCTTTAGCGACGCGTAATGTCAGCGTGTCAAGAAAAGTTTCCAAAATCTGTGCCACCACCACCGCCGGCCTCCCAACCGCAGATTCAAAGAGAGGCTCCTCCAGTTCTCTCTCCTCTATTTCTCCATCCATTCGCCAGCTCACAGAGAAGTTCAGCAGCAGTGGCTCCGCCGGGACGCGCAGAGGCTCACCGGGAGACGGCGCAGCGGTGACGAGGGGGAGCAGCACTCTTCCCCGGGCCAGGGGCTCCAGGAGAGACGGGTCTCCGTCTTGTAAATCTTTTCACGAAGAAGGCGGCGGTGGTGGATATTTACAGGATAGCGACACGACTACTGCGGAGTCTCTCACAGACAACAAAGTGCAAAAGTTTCTCTCTGGCACTGACTCTGTTTCAGGCTCGGACTCGGAGAGGAAGAGTGAGAAGCGGATTTTTACACGTTTATCCACCGACAGCAGCAGCAACAACTCTGGTAAGAGAGATTATTCACAGATCAATGCATGTCCCTCTGATCCCAGAAAGACTCTGACTACTGATGAAGAAGAGGATGTTGCTAGTAGAGGGGTTCCTCCACCCTGTAAGTCTCACAGAAGTTATCTTACACACCACAGTGACTTTATTCCCCTGCACCCTGACAAGTGGCCCAGTGTCACCAAAATTAGACAGATTTTTGATGAGAGACAAAGCAAAGCTACGCTGCAGCACAAGACCGACGCTGAGAATTTAAAAGCGTCCAGCAGAGGCCATCCACAGGAGCTCAGCCAGAGTGAGAGTGCTCCTCTCTCGGATAGAAGTGACAAAGTCTCACCTTGCAGCTCAGCTAATGAAGCCAGTAGCCGGTCTTTGCATGGAAAATACACAGTAGAAGCACAAAGCAGAGGAAGCAGTACTGGTAAAGAGACTTTTTGTTACGGTATGGACTTTAATTCCAAAGCTGACCACCAGCAGTACTCAAATGATGAAGAGGCACACATAGAGACACAAAGTTCGAATAACAACAAAGTTATTGGCAGAAATACTGTTCAAAGCAGAAGCAGTTGCAGTCGCACTGGGGGTAGTCACTACCATAGGATTAACCCATCTTCTTACAGATCTCATAGTCCCAGCACTGAGGCAGAGGCTGCCCATAAGACCCCCAGGACGACAGGGTTGACATCTGACCCTAGCCCTGACCTTCAACCCCCTGCTACTTCGTCTTGGAGTAGATCGGAGGGCTTAGTCACCTCCTCCCGCTCCTCCTCTCCTCAGCAGCCGACAGTGAGGGAGAGAAGGGATAGACAGGGGGTCGGGCTGCCCAGGGATAGTTTACATTCCTCACATAGCTCCTCTAGAGCGCCAGCCCCCACCTCCTCCTCCCCCTCCTCTGCTCCAGCTCCAGATAAAGCCATTACCTCCTCCTCCTCCTCTACTGTAGCTCCCTCCACTGAGCTAAGAGCCCCAGCAAGAGTTGCCTATCCCCTCCGTTCCCGCTGGAGGTTTAGCTCTGGAGACGAAGAGGAGGAGCACACCAGGAGAAAAAGAGGAGGTGGAGGTGGTTGGAGTGTTCCTTCCGGCCCTGCTCCTTCTATCTTCTACAGAGCAGGAGAGAGGGGCACCACAGAGCGAGGGGGCAGCTATTTATCCCGCAGTAAAAATGGCTGGTGGGGTGCTAAGGGCATTGGTAGGTCCTCAGGCAGTGAAGAGGACAGCCCTGGTTCCTTAGGCCCTCACAGTCGAGAGGCAGTGCGCCGCCGCTCACTGAGAAAGAAGAAGAAGGTCAGTGGAGCTGCTCTAGCAACAGGCCGTGATGATTATGAGGATCATGATGGCGAATCAGAAGACAGCGACAGTGACACAGCCTTGACAATGGACCACTTAGAGAGGCACCAGCAGCATAACACAGGAGGAACAGCATCTCGGAGCCACTCTGCGAGAGAACCCGGCAATCATAGTAACAGAGCCAGGGTCCAGCAATGGGAGCGCATCTCCTCACCTGTGACTTCCACGACACTTCCTGGAGTATCACGAGTGTCAAAGGTCAATATTCCCCCATTTGCTTCCAGTCCTGGTGGTTCTCGTTGCAGCAGCCGATACTCTAGCACTGAAACGCTAAAAGAGGAGGACCAGGCTAGTTGTGCCAGCCGTGCAGCAAATAATAGAACTACTTCCTCGTCCATGCTGAGTAAAACGTACCATGGGAATTTCACCATGTACCGATCCCCAAGCTTTGGCCATGGGGATAACTTCTCCCGTAATCCTGTGCGGGTGCGCCCCAAGATTGTGCCTTCCGTCAACCCCTTACCTAGTGTACTTGCCAGAGAAAGTGGGGCATCTACAGGGGTTAGGGGCGGTGAGACTGTGGCATTAAGGACAACATCAGGTGGGGATAGGGTAGATGATAATGATAAAAACCGAATATCCATATCCAACCCTGATATCACCTCAGAAACAATGTCACTCTTAAGCTTTCTAAAATCTGACCTGTCAGAGCTCAAGGTGCGCAAAACAAGTGGAGACAAATCTGGGGCTGTTGAGGGGTCATCAGTTTACAGGATGGGCTCACGGACTCATGGCGGGACACTTCTGCCTTCTGGTCGTCGCCCATCCCTGAAAGACCTGACCGCCACCCTGCGGCGTGCAAAATCCTTCACTTATTCAGACAAACCCACAACAGCTGTGAGGTGTTACTTGACAGGTGGCACCACGAAGAGGAGCTCCTCTGAGCAGCAGCTTGACTTTGATGGAGAGAGGGATGGAGGGAGGGTGTCTGTGTCGGATAGGGAGGTAGAAAGTGATGGGGGTGATTTTAGGGTTGGGAGAGGACAAAGAATGAGGGATTATAGATTCGATGATGATGAAGAAGTGATGCCTCCATTGCAGGAGAGGTATGTGCAGGAAGCCAGGAAGGTCATTCAAGATATCTGCCAGATGAGTACTAGGGAAGATGATGATGATGTAGATTTAAGGAGAACTGATGATGATTTAGAGGATGAATGTTTCCAGGTCAAGAAAACAAACGAGGAGAAGGATAAAGCCGGAGTAAGCGTTAAGGATGAGGCAAGCACAGCTCAAGAGGCTGAGTTTAAAAACACAAAAGACAGGGATAAACATGAGAGGGAGAGAGAGAACAGGGAGAGGGAGAGGAGCGAGAGGGATGGACAAAGTATGCAGTTGGAGAAGCTAAACAGCAGGAGCACAGAGTACAGGGAGAAGGAAACAAGACAGAGCAGAGAGACAGAGAGAGCTTTACTGAAGGGTGACTCTGAGGAAAGCATGTTCTACGACCGCTCTGTGGATGAACTTTCAGGCCATGAGTCTAGTTTAACAGATGAAGGGATTGTGACAGAGCCAGAAACAGGCCCCACTGACCCCCCTGAGAGGTCATTCTTAGGGTCGGCAGGGGTTAATTTGGGGTCACGAATTGCTAGGGATGTACTAGGGCAATCAGCTCTCCATGAGGCAGAAGGGTTTAAGCAGGAGAGAGAAGAGGTGACAGAGAACAGCGTGAATTGTACAAATCGTCTGAATGAAGTCGGTGTAACTCCCTCCCTGCCTCTTCCTGCCCGTATGGCTGAGAGTGACAGTATCATCATGGAGCTGAGCGGCACCGCTGGTATCAACAATGTTAACGCTTCAACGGAGGAGATGAACGCCAACAGCACCGCAGGAGGAGGAGGAGGACTTGAAGCCCCTGCAACCCCAAGTGCTATCCGTCGAAGGCGCAAGTTCTCCCCCTCTGGTAATAACAGCACAGGATCTGATTCCAGTAATGGCAGTAATGTAGAGTCAACAATAGCAGCTGTCGGAAATGGGGAGTCCACAGTCTACCGCTCTCTTAGCGACCCCATGCCTCAGCGGCGCTGCTCTGTGGCAGAAGAAGGGAATAACAATTTTTCCTCTGTAGACAGCAACCTGTTAGGATCCCTGTCTGTCAAAGGAGGAGGAGGAGGAGGAGGAGGAGGTGCAACAGACGCCACCGTGTCAGAATACAAGGGCAGTGTGGCCAGTGACTTGTCAGTTTACAGTGATGGCGGGCTCCGTGATGATGGTGTTTGTGACTACAGTGGCGTCATCAGGAGCATCGTAGCTGAACCAGGTGCAATGGACAGATTGATGACAGATGACCATGGCAATGGCAAAGCTCCCAAGAAGAAGTCATTCAGTGACCCCAGTCGCCGTGGTGATGCCCCTTTACTTTCCCAGAATGACCCTCAGTTTAAAGGTCAGACCGGCAGCACTCAGCCAATCATTGAGCTGGATCAATCTGGCCACATCCCACCATCCAGTAGTGAGCCAATCCTGAGTGAGCAGAGAGAGGAACTGTGGGAGCCAGAAGTTAAGCCTAAACACTCATTGCCGGCTCTGCCACATCACCATGCAGACAGCAGTAATAAAGTCAAGAAATCTCGTTCTCAGTCAGAATGCACCCCCCACTCTGATAACCACAATTATGAAGATGATGATGTAATAGACGAAGGTGGAGAAGAGAAAGAGGTGCAGAAGTTTAACTTTGACCTCAAGCTAGCTGGGGTTCTGTCCCCTAGAATGGTTCGTCGGCCCTCCAGAAAGCGTCCCAACAGGCTGGCTCAGTTTTTCTCTCATGAGGATCCATTTGAGCCCAAAGAACTGGGCTCACAGGAGCAGGACGATAACAGCGACCTCACCCCTCCTCTCCCGCCTCCCCTACTGCAATCCAAATCCAAAACCAGATCCAAGCATGTCCGCCATGCCAGCGAACCTGCCACTTTTATCCCCATCTCCCCACCTCCCCACCTCCAGCCACTGAAGGAAGCGGACTGCCTCGCCGTCCAACCCACCGCAGAGCCTCCAACCTTAAGTAAGCCTTCAGGAGATGAGGCCCCATCTCTGGAAGACGTGACTCAGAAATATATTCTGGAACTGAGCAATGCTGAGAGGGACACTGAGGGCCCAGGGCCTCATCCAGCAGCCAGGGATGGAGCCGAAGGTTCAGTGTCGGCTTCAGAGGGGCCCAGCGAGACCAGCACCAGTGGAATTACAGAAACTGGACCACAGAAGAAGAGCACAGAGGAAACTGTGTCCACGGCTATGCCACCGAGGACCAAGCCCAGAGTGGTGAGTCCAAATTATTTTGACTTTTTACCATCTTGATTCCATGTGTGAGTGTGTACTAATGCAGCGTCTTTGGGTTCATGTCGTATATGGTTTTAAATTTGGTTTCATTTTGGTTTGTCTTTAAGTGGCTGAGAAAGAGTGTGAGTGACTTTTTCAGATGCCTCAGATATGTTGAACCTGGATTATACACGTTATACAGTTGGCTTGTTCTTAAGGTTTCATAGCTACACCCCAAGGTGTATGTGCGTGCTTGTAAATCAGGACTCGTATGGTTAATTTCAGTGGGCATTTGGGAGCAGTGTTACAATACAGAAGCCATTAAAGGCTGAGCAGTGTTAAACAAACATCAGAGGATGTTATTAGTTTGATTAAACAAATCTCAGACAAAGGGCATTTAGGAGTGGACCAAGGCCAGCTGAGTGTGTGTCTGTTTTCATTTATTTGTTTCATCCAATATTGATTGTCTCTGTGCCAGAATTATGGAGTCATAGAGAGGGGATATAATAAACAGTTCGCCCAAACAGAGATTGCGTGTGTGATGTCTGCGATGCTGCATTTACTCAGCAGTGTCTAAACACTGGAAGACGTCTCGAGTTTTTGTATCATAGCAAGGTTAACTGATAGGGCTGTGACCAAAAATCACTATCATGATAATTATACAGAATTAATTGACAATAAATTCATGTTTTGTAAACAACCAGTGGGTAGAATAAGCACTATAAAATAATAGTATATTAAAAAGCAATAAACCTAAAATTATTAAGCTAAGATAAATACGGATTAATGCACACACTCTATTTTGTATGGTTTGTTGACAGTAGTCACTCATGAGGTTTCAGTGGGAACTAAACGTGTCTGTCAATGTTCTTTTCTGTGGACTATGTCATTCATTGCCATACACTGCTACTGTTACTCATAACACACCCCCTAGTGCGCACACACACACACACACACACACACACACACACACACACACACACACACACACACACGCACAGTCTCTCCTGGAGGTCTTAGCCTGAAGTCAGAGTTACTGTACAGTCATGGGTGTAACTCTGAATAGGTGTGGAGATAGTAAAAGCAACACAAGGATTACCACCCCGTCTGAGCCCAGGACAGAAGGTTGCAGACATATCATCCAGGGCTTTGCTTTCATTACGTCATGACTGCTTTTTTGATTGCGGTGACTGTTTTGCAGCCCGAGACCCATTCGGCCAAATGTTGCCTGTAGTTTTGATTTGTCATTGTGTATATTTCAGTAATCTGGACCATTTTTATTTGCTAAATTCACGTCCCTCCTTGAAATTCTCTCACAAAGCTGCTTTTCTGACGATTGATTACATCCATTGCGCCGGTCTTCATTAGTTGTTGATTGTTTTATTTCCTTGCATTGTCTTTACTTGTACTTGCCTTAGCGACATTAGCAGTTGCTTTACGAGTGACCTCACCAGGCAGGAAATGGGTTTAGGGAAAAAGGAAGTTGTTGTGGTTACTGAAGTGTTTGATGATGTCCAGCACTGCTGGCCGGCGTGTGCGTATGTGCCAACCATTGTATTGACTGTGCGTGTGTGCACATTTATAACTTGCCAGCATGTGTGTATTAACTGGTTTACTCTTTCTTCCTCTTTCTGTGTATGTGTGTGCGTGTTCATATTGTTTGTCTGGAATATATCAATGGCTTGTTCAAACGTTTGGACCTTTTGCCAACACACTGCGTTTAGAGCGCTGCCCTCGAGGTCTGGTGCACAGTGGCTGTGTGTGTGTGTGTGTGTGTGTGTGTGTGTGTGTGTGTGTGTGTGTGTGTGTGTGTGTGTGTGTGTGTGTGTGTGTGTGTGTGTGTGTGTGTGTGTGTGTGTGTGTGTGTTGGACTGAATGTAATAACGACTGTGCCAAGCTAACATGGAGCACAGACCAGTTCTGAGGAAGGAAGGAAGGAAGAAAGAAAGAAGTTGAGAGAGGGAGAGAAGAAAAGAGCTTTTTCCTTTTCTGGATGTAGTGTGGCTCATTTCACCCACAGCACACTGCCCGCTTCCTGACATCAAAATATCTCATTAATGTCATCTTTATCTATGTTTCTCATTTACTTTTCTTCACTATTTATTTTTTGCCTTCTCCCTTCTCATCTCCTTTCGTCATTCATCCAGATGCTGGGTCAGCCAAAGTCTATAGTCTAAAGTCTGAAATACTATATCAGTATGTTGCATTTTCAGCTCGTACTTTCACCCCATCTCCATTTGTCTTGTTTATTCTCCAACTTTCCTCCTCATGTTATCTTATTCTTCTCCTTGCTGTCTCTCTCGGTGTCTCTGGAACATTGCAGTGAAGTGAGGTCATAACGTTTGTCTTGGTGTGAGGCAGCCTGCCGAGCCAAATGTCAGGTAGAGAGGAAAAGAAAGACAGAGACAAAGAAAAGAAAAAAAGAAAAGAGCTGGAAGGAAAGTGGCTAAAAAAAAGTTACAGGATCAAAATAGAACAGAGCTGAAGAATGAAACAGTGATGGTGGGAGGGGGAGTGAGGGAATGAGAGGTAATGGGAGATGGGAGATTACTGTTTTTTAGTTGAACCAGAAGTGGGTTGTATGTACAAAATAAAAAATCTGTCTTGATATGTTTTGATGTATTGAAGTATTCAAAACCACATGGCATACATTTTGACTCATGCATACCTTCTTTGATTCACTAGAAATTTTGTGTTTCCAAGTGTTTGGAATCCTCAAACTAGGACACATTTGGGAATAAATAGCTTATTAACATTTATTCAGATGTGACAACTCAGATGTAAGACGTCTTTATATGAGAATTATATAATAACTTTATTATATGGATATAGATAAAACTGTATTATGACATAAAACCAGTGGAAGAAAGGGTTCCTGGCTCCATTCATTCTTTTAGTGCACGGTGTTATCAAGTACTCCACTAAATATATCCACTGTTTGTCCAGTCGGTATAAAGCTCAGATAGAGAACGGCTCTTCCTTCACAGCAGCTGAACGGACAGGTTCAAGCAAATAATGATTGAATAATGATGATTTCTCGTGTGTGTGTGTGTGTGTGTGTGTGTGTGTGTGAGATTCCCGTACTGTTTGAGTAGTTTTCACTTTAGCAGGCAGCAGGAATGTGGCCCATCTTTCCTTCTCCTTTTGTTGCATAACAGTCTTCAATTTTCCAAAAGAGCTGAAGACTCCCAAGGATTTTTGTGTGTCACGCCTTAGTGACCATATTTTAATATGGTATCATTTAAGTTGCTGTACTGAGACAATACTTTTTGGGCATTTTACTTGTAAGTAAACCAGACTAAGAATCATTCAGTACCGAGTTTTGGTACTTGTAATGTGGTACACATTTTAGTCACATTTAGTAATACCCAGCCATAATAATATGTTAGTACAGTATATACTGCTTGCATATCATTGAAATGTACAAAGGACAGCTGTCTACGTACCACACACTTTCTTCTGTGACTCGTTGCATAAAATGATATCTTAAAAGCCCTTTGCATATATTACCTTTCATCCTATTGATGAGGCCACTACAGGTTGAGAGAGGATGCTGGAAGGAAGTGCTAATGGGAGAAAGAAAGGAGACAGAAAAGATCGGTTTGTGCTCTGCTCTGCATGGATTAGGTCTAAAAGCACAGTGTTTATAGCTTCAGATTTATGACTGACTTTTTGTTTTATCAGGCCACCCACATGGAATCAAATACTTTCCTTCTGAACAGTCTTTTTTTCTTGCTCTCCCCTGTTGCTGGAGAGGAACAGGAAAGGTAGAGATGTGACTTGACTCATAGGTTTAATTTGAAATAATCATTGAGGCTAAAACATATTTCTCTAGAATATAAATATTTTTGGGGTGTTTTCAACAAACCACAGACTCAACTCGTCTTTTTCCCTCATATAAAAGTAAATAAAATTATAAGTGAGCGTGTGCAGTAAAAATATCTGCTTGATATTCTAAACACTAGGCAAAAGGAGCAAACACTGTGGTAGAAAATGCATCATCAAATCTCTTTTATGATCAATGGAGAGGAAAGAGCTTATACAATAAGCAACTTGCTCCTTTGAAAGGAGACTTAAAAGTAAGGTTAGAGTACACATTACAAACACACATAAAGGATATAGTGTGGGTGCTAGGGGTTATTTTGTAACATACAAAGGTCAGGCCAGGTTTAGTGAGGTCCAAAAAGTGAGGGATGCAGAGCGAGGTAAAGGTGAAAGAGAGATGAAAGGATGAGGATGTGGTTTGTTCTGGTTGAAGGTCTCCATGACTCAGCAGATGAGAAGGAAGAGGTGGGATGAAAAGGATGATCAAAAGGTCACGCTGCTGATATCTGTGGTTTCAGTGACACATAGGCAGCCTCTGATGGTGGACTTATTGAGTTCACTTTTGCCAGTGGAGGTAGAAACCTGGCTTATACCTAAAAAGATGGATGACTTACTGCTTTGAGTTAAATATAACTTCAAAGAAACAAAAAAAAGGAACTTTGGTACTAAACCGGTTCCTTAATGTCTGCTATGGTTTCTGTTCCTATGTGGTTAAGGTCCCCAGACAGCGGAGAACCTTGGAGAGAGAACGTCCCTCTACCTCCAGCCATCTTATCATCTGCTCACATACATACGCGCAACATGTTTTGCCTGCCTCTCTCTCGCTCTCATACACACACAGCCTGGTGTATTGCTTTTGGGACAGGCACAACAAAAATGTTTTGTGTTCCTCTGAGTAAGAGCATGTTGGGGTGGGGGTGATTTAAGAGGCCGATTTTAGAGATGCCGAAGTAATTTTGACTAACCGTAGATAACTGTGTGTATATAAGCTTGGTTGTGGCTCTCATTTGTGCAGCCAGCGGAAATCAAAAGTATCCAATATACTGTTTTGTGCAATACACTTGACTTTCCATCACCTTTACCTCTTCTAGAAGTATGTATCTGAGTATGCACCATTCACACATCTGTATGGTAAATGCGTAGCTGGAGCCAGCAGCTGGTTTGGTTAGCTTAGCTTA